TGTTCACTAAACATCATTCCCCCGGGACCACCAGTTATTACTATTATGATGCAGCATAAAACTCTTTTAAAAAAAGATGTTTTTAAAAAATTCTAAAGGATTCTTTTTTAAAAAGGATTATTTAAAGGGCTCTTAAAAAAAAAAAAAGCAGCAGCAGCAAAAGCAAAAACAAAAACCACAAAATAAAACAACAACAAGAAAACACCTTGATTTAGTATTAGAAGAGTTGGGTAAAATCTATACTCTACTTCTCATCTTGAACAAATTATCTAACCTCTCTAACCCCCAGGCTTCTCACCTACATACTGGCTTCATATTTCCTAATGCAGACACTACTGTTAAAGTAACACTTCAATCCACGCCACATTTGATAGCGGAATTTTCAAGAAAAAATTAAGCAAGCTTGATGCAGCAATATTCTGGGCTCTCCCTTTTCCAGATATGCCTTCCTATAGAGGAGATAGATTCTGATCTGGTCTACGCTGTATGATAATTTTACTAGAGCAGGTTCTTCCCATACAAGGTAAAGCCTAAGTTTTGATGATAAGTTCAAATGAGAAACCCTATTTGACCATATATCCAAGCAATATTCTCTAGTTCAGCATCAATTTTAAGAATTAAAGAGATGAATCAAAGGGACTAGTTGAATATATTTTTTCCTTGTGTTTAATTAAATAACTAATTTAACCAACATATAGTGAGTAGCTAGCCACAAAACCCATTATATTATGTACAGGAGGGATGCCGGGATAAATAAGGCAGCTTTTCTTTCCTCAAATACTCACTTGCTGGAACAACAGACATTGGAGGCTACAAAAGGTAGGAAGCTAGGAGGAGGATGAGGGTTGAGAAATTACCGGATACGATGTTCACCACTTGAGTTATGGGCACACTAAAAGCCCAGATTTTACCACTGCACAATATATGCATGTAAGAAATATGCACTCATACCTGCTAAATAAATAAGAACATTTTTTAAATATTCACTTTCCCGTTGTGGGAGGCTATATATGTGTGTGTGTGTGTGTGTGTGCGCGCGTGTATGTGTGCTTGTGTGTGCATATTTTAAAATCAGAATTGTCAAAGCTAAAATAGAGTTATAAAGTAGTATTAGCAATGTCATATATTAAAAAATCTTGCATAATTTAATTGATCACCACATACATTCACGTAAGCTAAAGGTACAAGCCAAAATAATAAAACTACCTACTCTAGGCATCTGCTGTCACATCACAAAGCTGTTAAGTAATGTTAGGATTTTAATTATCAAGACAGTATCACAGAAATGTTTCCCTGTATCTAAAACCATTTATACTCATTTTAACCATATTTTTATAGACACATTACCACATTTGACTAATTATTTCATATCAGAAACTCTCAATTCATTATTTCTGAACCATGTTATGAATGGAGAAGACTGAACATTTAAAAACTTTCCTAAATTTAAGATACTGCCAAATATGTAAATCTGGCCAACTCAACATGAAAGAAAAAGCCTAATTATTTGATTCTTAGCATTTATACCAACCCACACAATCCATAGTCTATGTAAAAGAAATGAGGACACAGTGAGAGGCTTACTGGAATATTAGGGAGGATATATTAACAGCCGGGCATGCTCAGCTTACTTCTGTACTGATTTATTGATGCAGTTTCAAGGTAGAAAGGTACAGAAAGGCATAGAAGGCATGGCAAGGTATTTGGCACATAATTCACTTGAAACTTTCCACTAACTCATTGCAATGATTTTTTTGGTCAAATAGTTCCTATTTTTCTCTGCTACCCTTCTGTTAACTGCTGGATTCAAGTGAAAACATAGGGAAGAAACAGTGATATCCTTTGTAGCTTCCGTGTTCAAACAGTTCTCCAAGGTTGGATCCAAAGATCCAACCATTGCCACATCGTTGAGTGCCTTGGGGAAAGCTCCTCCTAATTTTCTGTGATTTCTAGCTTTATCCAGGTAAATGAGATGCCAATTAGTTAAGTGTGGGAGAAGTAAGACTGTAAAATGAAAATCGAAGGAATTGATTGAAAAACACCACAAAGATACCACACGTATTTGAGGAAAAAGAGAAATCTCATTTTACTAAAACATACCATGTGATTATTGATATCTGTTTCTTAACCACAGACTCAATAGGCATGTGATTATAGTGTTTAAGTATACAATTTAAAGGGATTCCTTGTATTTCAGGTGTCTATGTAAGGAATGTATTTTGTTTTGTTTTTCCTCATACTAGAGAAAACCTAGGGTGTCAAAAGACAGGCACAGACAAACTGTTTTGTAAGAGCAATGGACGTTTTAAAACTGCATAAGTAATCATGGCATGCTGCAACTGGCCTTTGTGTGTGGGTAGCTAGAAAGAGGAAACAGGTCTTATCACCTTGCCTAACTAGACTGCTAGAATCTATGCTACTTCAGGGATCATTGGTTCTTTCCCACTAAGCTGGAAACATCTTGAACAGACATTATTTGTTTATTGGCATTAGGAGGTATGTAACACATGTTGGTTGAATTAATATATTGTCCCTTGGGATATAGCCACTGTGGTGAAGGCTTAAAAGACTGATCAAATATATGCTCCCACCAGGCCTAAAGCAGACCCACCACCACTGTCAAACACAGAGAATGGGGCACTGACCGAAGTAGTCATTTCTATGTATCCACTTAAGAGACTCCTCTCTCAACAATGTTTTTGAAAACTCTATTCAGATTAGGTTTTTCTCACTTGTGAAGTATTTTTAATCTAGGATCTCTTATTACAGGGTGCTGTATACTTTCCCTACTACCAAGATATTCACATGCTGAAGTAGTAACATCAAAACTAACCTAAAGACTCACAATATAAAACAGTTAAGACAGTACAATAAGTAAAGTCAATGAAATGAATTATTATAGAATATACAAATTTGCTTCATCTACATATTTATGATGATGAAAACAGACAAAGAAGAGGTATTTCAAAGCACGAAAGGTTTTAAAAAATTAAGTAAAATTACAAATTACAAAATTCACATAATTATACTAAAATGCCTCTACCACAAAGGCACTCATCCCAAAGTATTGGATACTTTCCTATCTATATCTGAATAAAGAAAATGAATCTAGAAATTACAGTATTTGAGGAATAATTTAGTAATAATAATAGCTACCACTTAATTAGTCTCTACAATATGCCAAGTATTAATAGTATTTTAAGCACTTAACACAAATTAATAGTTAATTCTCACAACAGCCCTATAAAGAACTTGTATTGTCCTCATTTTACAGATGAAAAAACTGATGCTCAAAAACCTTATAATTAGTAAGTATCAGAGGCAGCATTTGAACCCAAATGCTCCAAGATCTATATTCTGTACTCTTAATAAGAACAGGCAGGGGTAAGCTGGTTCCCTTAACAAACTATGTATCCAAAAGGAACCATATGACATATTACAACCTAGCCCTATGATCATACTTAACATGGAACAAAAAATTCAATCAAAGCAGCAAATACCCCTATGACTAACCTAATAACCTCTTGGCATAAACCATTGTTTCTACTCTGAGGCTTTCCATAATTTCACAGTGTTGAGCTGTATTCTTTTTCTGTTGCTGCTGTAACAAACAACCACAAATACAATGGCTTAAAGCAGCACAAATTTATTACCTTACAATTTCAGAGGTCAGAAGTCTGAAATGGGTCTCACTGGACTAAAACCAAGGTGTGAGTGGAAAGTTTAGGACAGAATCTGTTTCCTTGCTTTTCCATACTCTGAAAGCCACCACTGGCATTCCTTGGCTTCTGGCTGCATTCCTACATCAACAAACCGTCAAGGTTGGACTGACTATCTTTCATGCTGCCTTCTCTCTTTCATTTATAAGGATCCTGGTGTTTACACTGGGCCCATGCACATAATCAGGGATAATTTCAAAGTCACCTGATTAGCAACCTTAATTCCATCTGCAACCTTAATTCTCCTCTTACCATGTAACATAATATTCTGAAGTGGCAGAGTTTAAGATGTGGGGGTCCATTATTCTGTTTACTACATAGATATACCAAGATATGTTCATGAACTTGAGGTAGAAGACAGAGTACATGATACAACAGAGGTAGAAGACAGAATACAGCCATACAGTTGGTCTAGGAATTGTTCGCAACAAACAGGTAATACAACTTTGTAAATTTATCATACTACTCTTATAAACTAGTTAAAATATGTAGCAATCCAATGCAAAAATAGAAATTTGACCAGTTGAATACAGTTGCTTACATTTATTTGAAAGAGTATAGACTAGTTATAAGAACAGTCTAGAGAAGATAGTATAGACTGGTTATAAGAACACTGAATTTTAAGTCCTTTACAAGTTATGCAGCCTTCAGCAAGACACAATGCTGAGCATCAGTTATCAGTTTTCTCATCTGCATAGTGAGGATTAAAATCCCCGACCTGCTTTAAACCAAGATTGTATGAAGGATTAAATCAGATTGAATCATGAGTGTGAAAACTTTGTGAGTGATAAGCCCTCTGCAAACAAAATATGAATGTAAAAAACCCCAATATGATCAGTTTTGTTCAAAATGTAGTATTTTTTAAAAGTACCAATGATAAAGGTAAATAACCAAAAGTATATACCTCTAGCTTTCTCGTTAATTTTAAAACCAGAATTCATGTTAGTAATAAAAATAGAATATAATTCTATTAATATTATTGAAACTTTATCATTTACTACTTTTATAATCATTTTAATGAAGGAAGTTTATATTTAGCTTCTTTTTATATACAGAGAAACTGAGACTTAGTCTCTTGACCAAGATCACACAGTATATTGGATCATGAAAACACTAGAAGCTAAAAGTATCAAGTTTAAGGTATGTCCTATTTTAGAAAATGAACAAAAACAGTAGTCATGCCAATATTACCATTCACAGTAAGATTTACTAATTGCATAAACAGCATGACTTACAACAGCTAGATGGAAGAAAGCATCATTACACACCAAGGATACTCACAGAGTAGCTCTGTTGGCACGAAGAGTCCTAGAGTCTTTGGTTCCCCAGATCACCTTGTTTCAGGTTTCACATGAAAGCATCACATCTTAAGATTGACTCCTAGAAGAATCAAAGAATATGGTAACCATCTAAATATTTTTATGCATGTTTAGAAAAATGGAAAATATATCCAACTTCATATCTGAAAGACTTAATAACATATAGCTTTCTATTGCACTGGCTGAAAATGCTATTTACTTTCTTTTAAAGCTCCAAGGTTTTATTTAAAGGCCCCTTTCGATATAAACAGATTATTTAGTTAAATTTGTTCACATCACCACTAACCCTATGTTATAATTATGGCACCTGCCTTTATTTGTGCCTGCCCTTATATTTTCTGTCCCAAGTAAAATTTCTCACGGTGTAGAGGATTTCCTGCCAAAACATCAGAGAGACTCATTTCAGTCCAGCATCTTTGGGATTTCAAACCAATAGCTTGTTTTTAACTTTTGAGTGATGTTTCCCTCCATTTTTGGTACAAAAATGTATGTGAGTGTGAGTGTGTGCATGTGTGTGTGCATGCATATGTGTGTGTGTTTATAAAGTAATATCTTGAAATTTTTTACATAAATACACTAAAATTCTATTTATATTAAATGTCTTAATTAAAAATTGAGCAAAATTTCAGTGAAGCATCTAAGGTTTAACAATACATCAGAAATATTATAAAAGTATAACCAATGTTTAATCATCAGTTCTTGTATGTTCTTTGATATGAACCTTGAAACAAGTTTTTCACTTCTCTGTCCAACTTCTTTACTTGAAAACAAAGGATATACTAGTATTTACCCCAAAAATTTGACTATTGAATTAAGCTAGTTAACATTTGTAAGATACCAATACATACAGTGTTTGGCAATGAAATGATAACAACATGAATAATAATTGCTATTATTGTTATTAATAACAATTGTTGAATGAATAATTGTTATTGATTGTAATAATTGTCATTGTTAATATTAATTAACTATTAATAACAATTAACTATTAACTCTACTCTTAAAGCTCCAAAGTTCTATTTAAAGACTCCTTTACATACAGATTATTTAGTTAAATTCATTTGCATCACCACTAACCCTATGTTATAATTATGTTACCCCATAATAGTTGATTAAAATATAATTATTAATAATGGCACTAATTAATATTAATATTGCTACTTAATACAGTAAAAATTAGAATATATAGATGAATAAACATTAGATCCCTGCTGATTCTTTATTTTAAAAATAAGATATTTAAGTTTACAAATTCTTATATTTATCTTATTATTAAACCAATATAATCAACTTTAAGATGTAATCAAGAAAAATCAGATTGCTCTACAGTAGCATAGTGCAGTGCAAAGGTTTTTAAAGTATAAAAAATATCACATGAGTAAGGCCAAAGAAAACAGAACAGAAATAGTCTGAGGTCATTTTGATAGCACTTGTAATGTTACGTGATTTAACCAGAGAACCTTGACATTGTAGTTTAAAATGGAAGGAATTTTAGGTTGATAATCAATTGTTTACTTTGTAAACTCCAAAACTATAATAAGTAGACCATATATATACATTGTAATTTAATAAAAATTACACAAAACTTGTGAATTTTACATGCAAAATATCTCTTTATAACAATAAATTCATTTGAATTTAGAATCAATATTAAGATATACTTCACAAAATTCCCAGTATTATTATGCCACAATAATTAAACTTTATATAGTAAATATTTTTAAAACATAACATCTTACTCTTTCTGATTCAGTAACTACCACTAAAATTATATAATTTTGAATTTATTTCATGTATAGATATGGTGACAAACTGGTATTATTTGCTGTAATCCATTTTTGTCTGCGTAATTATATTTCTTACCTTGTACCTAACAAGTGAGATCTCCCACATTTTGATTCTCATGTGAAATAAAATAATATTACTAATATTTGAGAATCATTAGTTAAGGAAGTTTTCTTTCTCTTTTTTATTTCTCAACTAAAAATTTGTTTTAACAACGTGACTTTAGATATTCCTTGGTTCTTCTCTACAACATTAGAATATTACAGTTAATTTTAGTTTACAGTATTTTGTTCTGCAAACATTTATCTTAAAGAGTGACTTTATTCTTTTAAAACAGGAGCAAACTTTAAAAGTTATGTTTGAGGGCTGATATGTAAATCATGTCTACCAAATAAAGATTTTTAAAAAAGAAAGGTAGTTGAAATGAAATAAAATGTTTTCTATTTGTTTTGGCATGCCTTTCCATATTCCAAGTAACTTTTACCTTGTACAAAAGTTAGAATACCTGACCTTCTGAAGCATGCATGTGTAAATCACAGATAAGTTCTACAAAGACTTTTACTTCTATTAAAAGGTAACTTTTGCATAATTTATTTAATATAAAACCAATAGCAAAAGTACAAGCTATATTTACTTTTCTAGAAAGGTTCATAAACTAAGAGAAATTCCTTGATCTGTTTTACTGAAAATAAAATTAACACAAATAAGAAGGAACAGGAAAGGAAAAAAAAAGGAATCTCTAGGCCTTTGGAAGGCTAGGTTAATGTCTAATTTCTCATCCAATTATCAGGCAGGAAATAACGTGGTATTTTTAATTCTGTAATTTCAAAGATCATTATTTAGGTGATTTAAATAGCCATACTTTTTAGAAAGGGCCAGCAGCTATTTCAATACTGCTATTTTAATAGAATATCCTGGGTGTCATAAAGTTCCATGTCTGGCGTAACTCATAATTAATTGACTTAAGAATTTTAGTTACAACCAAAATGCATTACCCAGGGTTCATGATCTCTTCCAACTCATGAAACAAATTTTAATCAAGACAGAAATGAAATATATTTTTGCAAAGGTGCTTATTCAAAGGGCTAGGAATGTATGATGTAATAGGGGAAATATATTACTCATGTTTACAGCTGGTTGATTATTATCTACAGAATAATAAAAGTGAAAAATTATGTCAGCTGACATATGTAATTTTATTAATTTATTTCACAAAATAAATAAATATCCTCCTAAAACAAGAGACTGTTTTAGAAACCACAGTAAATCTTAAAAGGAATATTTAAAACTATGTAAACCCACACTCAAATTTTCAGAAAATCACCAAACAATCTATTCTCTTAGGAGAGAGAGTCTCTCCCTTTAACTTAACAGCACCATCCCATCCAATCATGTTTATAAATTCTCATTAGGGCTGAAAAAAAGTTCCTTGAATAAAATATTTATTAATACCTCAAGCTCAGTTCTTGCCTTATGATAGTAGTTGGCATTAGTAATAAAGCCAAAATAACTGTGAAACCATCTACTATCTTCTTTTAAATCTTTTTGCTTTTCCCTTCCTTAAGCCCAGAAAGCATGTTTGTTTTGGAAGCAACTGGCAAACACTACAAAAGGAGAACTTAAAGTGAATGATTAATGATCAAGGCAAAAATGTAAAATCACATCAGCTGATAAGCGGCTGACTAACTCAAGGCTGAAGAATGTGAGGGCATTGCGGCAAAGCTGAAGAGTAACATTTCTTTTGCTGGCAAATGACAGGCATGAGACACCACATCATACTCTTAGATGTCCAAAAGCAAATCCATTGTTTTAAGTTTACATAACCAGCAAAGGTGATCTTTGAAAGTCACTGAAGACAGATTCTAAAAAGCCATGTTGCAAACAACTACATGTATATAACTGTAAACACTATTTACAGCTATGGTATATAGCTGTTTTCATGGTTGACATAAGAAATTCTATGGTACTCCTTAATAAGTAGTGTAACTTAAAATCTCTAAGCAAGGGTAATACAGTTCCATGAATCGAATCTAAGGAAATGGCCTACATCATCATATACTGCAAATGAGTAACAGAAACACTAGGACAATAAGCTTTGATCTCAGAACTTTAACAAAATTATTGAGTTCAGTAATCTTGTTCTCACTTCTTTGTTATAGAGACATTAACAGCCTACCCTTTTCCTAATCGAGGAAGTCAAAGATGAAAGAAAAATCAATAAACATTGAAAAAATATAATTTGTTTAGTGGTGTACTGAAAATTAACCATGAAGAGGGGCAAAGCCAAGATACACTGCAAAGGCAAATCATACCAAGCTTGTCTTGGAATGTTGCCATGCTCAGTTTATCATTTTGCTTTGAGGGAAGCATGGGTGGTTGTGAGGGGGGCTCTGCATGGGAGTAAGAGAGAAGCATAAATAGTAGCTTCTTTTAGCTACCATCTCCCCATAGCAAAATTTACATTTATCTTTCACTCTGTAAAGCAAATACTACACTAGAGCTTTTAGCCATTTTATTTTTACACACAATTAAGATGGACAAATATGATGTGGTGTTCTTAAGCATGTGCCTCAAAGGCCTACAACTAGAGGAAGTATAACTGGCCAAGGGCTCAAGCTGCTGAGCTCTGAAATCCATTGTTGAATTTGCATGGAGTCCACATTTCCCGCAGGCACCTCCCAACCCACGCCTGAGCACAGCAGAGATACCAAAGCAGACCCATTCCCGGGACATATGGGACTCCTCTGATGATCAAATTTGTCCAGGAGACTCCCAGATGCCCTTGCCTGGCAACTGTAGTTATTCAATCATTATCTTTCGGGAAAATAAGACATTGTTAATATTGACTTGTTAAAGGCCAGGTTGCTGCATAAACACCAAAAATTACACAGTGGGAAACTCAGTTTTAAGATAATTTTCAACTTCCTGATGTGGTCCCAGGATGCTGAACTATAGTGAATAGATTAGAACTACAGAGAGATAGATTTTTGTTCAATATAAGTATGGCCTCATAGTCAAAGATATCTAAAAGTAAAATGGGCACTCTAAGCCTCTTAATCACTCTTTGATGATGGTAACATCCCCATTTTACAGAAGAGGAAATACTCGGCTTGGAGAAGCCAACTTCTCAGGGGTATACAGCTTTAAGGATAGAGACAATATTCCAACTTTGATCTTGCTCACCGTTTCCACAATACCAGTTAGAATAAATATCTTTCATGAAAAGATACCAAATGCACATGCATCAGCCATAAACAGGTGGTTGGACTATGTGGT